CTCAAACTTACAAAACATTGAGTCGAACAAGTTCTGTAGCTTTACAAAATGAATATGCTACAACTTCTGTAAAAATGAATAAATAAAATATTAAAAAATAAAATGTGTGCTTCCTGTTTTACAGAGGTAGGTATACAAAACAGACATCTTCTGTTAAAATAAGTGTTTTCAGTTTACAGTAACGTAAGCAATACAGTAACAGTACAGTCTTACAGTAATGTAAATTTACATACTACTAACAAAAAAGTGCAATCTTACAACTGTAAAGTTGCATAAACTCCTGAATAAAACTAACTACGTAGCCTCTAATACTTCATAACGTTCCCATGGCAACAGGGGAAATGGCTGCGCTTGTGTGAAGTAAACGCAACATTTTTCAACTTTCTGCTAAGATATATGTGACTTTTTGCAACGAAAATGCGGGGATTATGAAATCATGCAAGCCCGCATATTTTGCGCGCAGGAAATCTGCAATTTATGCGGCGAAAGTGCGGCGTATTTGAAAAAACGCGCCCCCCGCATAAATATGCGGACTTTGGCTGATTTTGCGTGGAATCTTGCGATCGCATAATCGCGCTTTTCTGGGGGGACTGATATAGTCGTGCCAACATGCACATTGGAACCACACCCGAACCCCACAGGCTATTGGCTGAAACGCTAGACACGCCATGATTGTCACAAACATTCATCACAGCCTCTATCCACGACCACACCTGTCACCTGCAGGGGTGGGTGTGTGTGACTGCATACAAATGCGTGTGTAAAATTGTTCATGTGTAGGATGACATTGGCTGTCTTAGAACGTCAGTCTGTTTTTTTCCCCCCAGGGGTACGTCATGGCAATAATAACAATAAGACAAATACATGAATATATAGCCTTCTGAATTTCAAGATATTTGCAGGAGGTTCCCAATACGATTATTGTTTAGCAGAGAAAACACATGGAATTTTAGCGACAACATTCAAATCTACGCACATGGATGCAACACAGTGGCATAAAACATTATCAGCTCAGGGGGTGCAGCATCAAGTGGGGCTCCAATATATGATTTATCTCCCAAGGTCGCATATCATTACATTCGTTTTAGATTTTTTTTTACACTGTTGAAAACCAGTGGCGGCTCGCGACATCTCCACTTGGTAGGGCTGTTGGGAGCGACCTCTGAAAATATGGTGTTCTAAATAAGAAAAACCTGATCATGTTATTGGCCTTCCCCTTGAAAGTTAACTAACTGTCTTATCCACCAACCGTAGGCATAAACAATACAATAGCACTAAAATGCTATCCGCATGACCCTCAAATCCACACTCCACACCCCTTTTGACTCTGCCAAAAGCCCAAAGAACAATTCAAGGTCAGATGACACGACACAACAAAGACATTATCCAAGGCAACCGAGACACTGCATACTGTACAATAACAGCCACATACCGTCGTACACCCACCTAGACAAAATGCTTTGATCAGTATTCACTGGCAACATTAATACAATGTACACAGGCCTATTATTTAATTCACTTTTCATTAGAGCTTGTTTCGCTGTGTGGTCACTGTTTGTCTCACTGTTATCTGTGGCAACTGTAACATCACTTTACCATGACTACATTGTCGAATGGAAAGCTATGCCTATACTGTACTGACATTCGCCTACACATTTGATTTTGGATTGAAGCCACAATTAAGTGCAATCAGACGTGCTTCGTCCACTAGGGGTGTTGAGTGCCTCCCCACCAAGCAGCTGGAGATGATACATTATTTTTTGTAATAAAAAACTACTTTTCTATTCATTGTTTTGTTGTGTTGAATATTTAATGATTCTTTCAACCTGAATTTCCTAATGAAGATAACATTTTCAGTTGTTAAAATTAGAAACCGCTGTCACACCACAGTCTGATTTGTGCCTCGGTGAGGTCTCGGGGCGGCTATGAAGGCGTCCGAGTGAGAGATGTCCCCCTTCATTCATCGCGATTAGCTTCTAGCATTTTAGCCACGCCGTTTGAGACCCATTCAGGGTGGTAAAAAGGGCGCCCGTGTCTGTAATGAGACGATGTCACGACGCTAGGTTGCACCATGCAAAAGTAGCAACCCCTTTGACACTACCAAAAGCTCTCGGCTTTTGGCAGGGTCAAAGGGGTAGTGTAGTGTAGACTTGAGGGTCATTGGGACAGCGTTTGAGTGCTTGTTGTTTTGTTTCGTATTGTTTATAAATGCCTACCATTGTCAGATAAGACAGTGATATCACTTTCACGGGAAGGGTTTTTCTTAATTAGAACACCATCTTTTCAGAGGTCACTCACAACAGCCCCACCTGGTGGAGATGTCACGAGCCGCCACTGAGTGCAATGTAACAAAGCGTGTAGGTCGTGAGCTGCTGTATTTGCACAGTGCAACCTAGCGTCGTGACATCGTCATCACAGACATGGGCGTCTTTTTCACCGCCCTGAATGGGTCTCAAACGGCGTGGCTAAAATGCTAGAAGCTCATCGCGACGAATGAAGGGGGACATCTCTCACTCGGACACCTTCATAGCTGCCCCGAGACCTCCCCGAGGCACACATCCGACTGGTGTTACAGCGGTTTCTAACATGAACAACTTAAAATGTTATCTTCATTAGGCAATTCACGTTGAAAGAATCATCACGTTCAAAAAAATAAACACAACGAAACTATTTTAAGGAAAGTATTTGTATTCGAAAAATAATTTCCCATCTGCAGCTTCTTGGTGGGGCGGCGACCCAACGCCCCTAGTGGATGAACCGCGCTGGTTGAAAACAAATCTCATGGTATAATAATAGGGTTTTTACCCTTTTTTCTGGCAACAAAATTGACACATTTTACAAGGAATCGTGTTTGCATTAACCACAATACCTGCGGTCAAAATGCAAAAAAAACTCTGATAATGTATGCATTGTCCTTGAAATTGATTGGAAATATATTTTTTTGCATTTTGACCGCAGGTATTGTGGTTAATGCAAATATGATTCCTTGCAAAAAGGTTTCAGTTTTGTTGCCAGAAAAAAGGGTCAAAAACCTATTATTATAAGTTCCTACTGGCAAAGGAGGCCTCATGATGTAAATCTCATGGTGGTTGTCAAAGGTGGCCCCAACTCGTAGCTTTGGCCACCAGGGGTGCGGGGTGGGAGGGCAAGGCACATGCAGTGAGTTTAAGAGGTAAACACGCACATTTGATCGACACCGGGGGAACGATGGGCTGAGTTAACCTGCCATCAGGATATGAACTCGAAGCCACTCTTACCGCTGTGATAGGGTGCTAAATTGGCACATCGCGAGCTATGGAAGAGATGGGCTGATGTTGTGCGGAAATATCTGGAGATGAGTGGACCTGCCGATGACTGGTCACAGCTGTGTTCAGACCTGTCTCCGTTGCAGGAGGGCGGTTAAAACACGTTACTGCGCAGGTAGAGGCCATTCATTTATCAACAAAGGAGAGCGGAGGAGTGATACAAGAACAAGTAGATAACTTGGTAGAAAAAAAACTACTGCAAGTTGGTACCACAGGGATCGCGGATAGTAACATCTGCCAATTGTCTAAATCGGTCAACCCATTACACCGGTGGTTCATCCTGAGACCTGACAATACGCCTTTGACGCTTCGTGTATCCAGCACTTAGCATGTTGTTACAGGGACGCGTGTCTGTGCGGGGAGTGGTAGTGTCGCGGTTACCGAGCTGCGCTACGAACCAGGCTACCCGATTTCGATGTCCGTTCACGGCCAAAATCAGTGACGGATATCTGACACCAGTCCTGGAGTCTCGGCTCTGATCTCGTCAAGGTTCACAAACCACCACGCGAACCCCGGTCATTACAGCAGCAGCGCTTTTGGCGAACCATCGAACAGAGACGGTCACCTGCAACGCGCGCTTTCAGATGCGCTTCCGCGGCCGTCTGGAACGCTCTTCCGATATTAGAAAGTCACCGGAGCTGTGTACTGTAGTTTTACATCCAGATTGAACACTAATTTCTTTAGAAATGCTTCGTGTGGTTAGTTTGTTGTCCTTCCCCCCCCCCCCCGCACTTCCAACGAGCACGGTAGACATAAGTACGGTGCGAAAGAAGTTCAACATACATATATATACACAGGTCAAAGCAGTCTAACATGAATATTGTAGCTGGTGCGGTGTATGAATATCGCCACTCGATAGAATAAGGCGGCCGTGCAGGCTTTCACAGGTGCTGGATAAAACAGCCCTTGCCCCAAAAGTATGTTCAGGCTACGAGGGGGATCTTTGTCTTTGTGTGTCTCCGCGCGTGCACGCGCACAGGCGCTGCGAGCACGAGGCACGCGCTTCCAGCTCCAATACTGCAGCGTGGTCTGTTTGGGGGATAGTTGCATTTGTACCCGGACACGTTAGTGTCAGTGCACGTGTCCGCGTGTGTTTGTGTGTGTGTGTACACGAACAGGCGATGTAGGTGTGGCTGTTTGTGTACCGCTCCGTGGCCAACACCTGTAACGATGATCGGAACTGGTCCTGGACTCCCTCCTCGGGCGACACAGCCTCTAATGTGTGCATAATGGGCGTCTGTTGAATATGCCAACGTGTGCAAACATCGCCACTGGGGAGACAAAGGCGACAGGGCGTAGTGCCGCCCCTGTATAGTTGTGTTCGCTAAGCACACGTGGCCCAATCGTCGTTTAAAATTATTCGTTGGGTTTTGTGTGTGTGTGTGAGATCAACACCACGTCTTTGTCTCCCCTGTGCTGCTGTTTACACACCGCACCAGGTGCGCACGTACGGCTGAGTCGACCTAGCGGAGTCCCGGACCTGGCTCAGACATTCGTCTCCGATGTTGGCCGTTGACCGGAATCGAACTCGAACATTCGGCGGCTTCGTAGCGCAAAGATTGCTTCACCACCGCGCCACCACTCCCCCACCTCATTTACTGGGGCACAAAACACGGGACACGTCATCCACCCACATCACCTTCACGGGCATCACCCCAAACAGCGGAGCCACGAGTTGAAACCACACGCAACTCCCTTGGCAAAGTCCCGCGTGCCAGGGTGTGGCACGGGGAGGAGGTCCCTTTTTGCGTCTATATAAGCGGCCGTCTCGGCATTGCGCACCCCACAGTCCACTCTCAAGAAGTCTGCAGCATCTCATCCATCACTCACCATGGTGAGTCGCTGTCACGCGCAGGAGGCAGATGATGCGCGCAGACAGTGGTAGCGATGAGAGACGATGATTGCGTGCGGTGGGGTTTTGCATCGAACTCGCATTGTAGATATTTCTGTAAATGGCGAGAAAAGCGATCATAACAGGTTATTTGTTTTGACCAGGAATCCTAAAGGGAGTAATCCTTGACTTAAGCATCTGGTAGTTCACCAGCATCGATTCAATCAGGCCTGGCTGCTGATGAGACAAGGTCAAAACCGCGCCAGGCTTGCTTCGTATTGTATGTATCTGTGTTGCTAGCGTTGTGCACGCACCAGAGGGCCGTGGGGACGATGGGTTGCGTCGATGGGTTGCGTAGCAAGCGTTTATAATGTGTTAACATTGCATAGAGATAAGAGGGAGGCGTTTTGTATGCGTAACTGCTCCGTTCGGAAGATATACAGGCTCGTTAAAAAAAAAAACCTTTAGATAATGGTAGTGATAACAAAAAAAATCTGCAGAGAAAATGATAGGAAACTTGAGAGAGGGCAAGGGAGAGAGAAATAACCGGGAGAGTATTACCACTGCATGTGGTATAAAATGGTCAACAAAGAGAATCAAGAGGAAATAATGTTAAGAGTGAACGCGAGGGGAAAGAGTACGCGAAACGCTGTATAGTTTTAAGAGACAGAGTGAGTGAGACGGAGACGAATTATGTGAGCGAGACAAATCGGGAGAAACAGAGATTCACAGAAAAGGCAAAGCTGGAGAGGGACGTGGAGAGAGATCTGCAGAGAGTGGTGGGCATGAGATCAGCTTGGTGATGTGGGCGAGATTGTGATCCATAGCTCTGCTAACGCTGTAGTTGAGCATTCTGGGCAATACATCGCATTCAGTTCCATTTAAGCACATCAACATACAATATTCGCAGTTTACCGGCTTTGTCATCTGTTATACTTATCCGGAATTCTTCATGACAGTGCTCTGTGAGATTTGTTTTGAAATGCGATATTGTGCGTGTGTAATGAGGGCCCCATGCTGTACAGAGAGGACACTTTCCAATAACATCTGGTAAACCAAGATAATTTATTGATCATTGCTGACTTTGCTAATTGCCCCGGGAAGGCAAATAATGGTCTGAATTTTTTTGTTTAAATCAATGCTGTACGTTGACTTAAGTCTTGAAAGCGAATATATAGAAGATACATTTATTTAGTGTATCTTTTCATCAGTTGTATTAATCTACATTCACACATCTTAGTTTTCCTTTGAATATTGATCACGATTCATTCCAAGTTACTGTATATAATGATGAACATGTTCTTTTGTTGTCATGCATACAGGCACAAGTCAATGAAGACATGCTTCTGAAGCTGTTCAAAGCTATCGATACGGTACAGTTATTCCTGAATCACACTGCGTTACATCAGGACACAGTATAATTCAATTGATTAAATAACCATCTAGTTGCTTAAGCTGAAATGTATATTGTATATTCATAATAACATGATATTCTTTGTTCTCGTGTATTGAGCTTTTGATATTTAGAGCCCCATCATTTCTGAGACTAAAATAATGGCATATTTAAAAAATAAAAAGTATATATTTTAGAGAGAAAAAATGTCTTTACCCCACATGGCCACATATCAACTGCACAACAGGCGTTTCCTGCAGGGACTTAGAACACGTGACGCACTTTTGGAAACACCCACGGCAATGCAGCAGTGGCGAATGAAGGCGATTACCTGCCCATTTGACACTCTTCATTGTTTGGCCCAGTGCATTGTGAGCTGCCTTTATTCTGGAAAAACAACACAATCACCTTACAGCCAAAATACCCCCATAGCAGGGCACACATTAAATTGTAAGTGAGGATAGTGCCTGTACACTTGGGTAAGCTACTCATGTTAAGTCCATCCAGATAAAGCCTGGTTTTGCAATTGATATCTAAGCAGGACGAAATATCCTATAGTTTCACTATCGCATATATCACCCTAATTTCTATTTTCATAGATATTATTATACAGTCTCGACACTTTAATCACCTGCAGTTTCGGGGCAATGGTGAGGGAAATCAAGAGTTCTGGCCTAAGGCAATTGTCCCCATGAGTCTAAATGGTTACACTGATAATTATCCTTGTTGATGTACGTGTGGTGATGTTGCATGTGTTGCTGCCTGCTTGTGCTCTATACTCCAGGATAATTCAGGAACCCTCACGGCAAAGGAGATTCTCGCCGTCCTAAATGACCCAAAATTGAAGTCACCTAAGAAGCACACTCTGAAAGAGGTGGAGGACTTGGTCGGGGCCATAGATACGTCCGGTGACGGCAAAGTGGACTTCAAAGGTGAAACCAACTGGATTCTAACACACTCTTTTTTCCCGGTTGTGAGACAGACAGCTTCTCCGTATACTGTATACCTCGAGTGCCTACCAATCACAACAATACATTCTGTCAGTAAATGTTTTCATTTTACGTTGGTCATCAACACTAACCTTATAACACAAGTCAATGGCCAATGTTTTGGACAGTAACCCTTTCTCAGGCTATAAAGGGCTAAGATATTTCCTTTTTACTGTTTGTTTTTTGGCACACTCAACCTACACACCTGGATGTAATGTAATTGCTAAGTGCCACTCTGAGAACTATATTCATTCAGTAACTGGCTGGGTGAACATGTCGTGACTGAGCTTAGTGGAATGTGCAGCGTACACAGTGTGGTGTATAGGATACATGGTGGGATGTGTAGTGTCCTGCCCCCCCATCACCAACGTGCACTGACCAGCATGGTCAAAACACCCATGACTGACAAGGCATGGGGAAGTCTTTCATCCAGGAGTGGATAGATAAACAGCTGTAAAACATAATTGTTGGATGGATTGCATCATGATATTGGCTAATGAGACATTTCCACAACTGAAAAATCATTCACTTATAACAACTTTTGAGTAAATATAAAGTGTTAACTGAAAACTAATTTCACGTGTAGATAGAAAGAACGGAAGTAGGCCTAATTCGACAGTGTTGTGCTTCATTGGCTTACACTCATCTCCCTTCTTCTTACAGAATTCCTGCAGGTGTTCAAGTCCCAAAAGTGATGAACCAACATCTCCTGCCGGCCATCACCAGTTTGCTCCAGCGTTCACCTAAAACTTACCAACAATGTTTCTGCCTGAATTTATGCATTGTCCTCCACAATATCAGATAACGTGTTGTCTTTTGCATAGTGCCAGATGTTAAATACCACAATGCTGCGTTAGCAAAAGTAGGCACACGTGTTACAAATTTTAACAATAAAATGTAAATCTTAAAAATAAATCGGCCCAAAAAAGTACATTTTTGTGATTTTTTTTTACCAGCCATGTTTTGATGAAATAATGAATAACATGTGAGTGTGGTGCTCACCTCCCAGAAGCCCATGTTTACATCAGCAGAATCGAATAAATTAAGCAGTGCCTGGTTGGTGTTTGGAAAGTCATAAGAGTTCGGGTGGTGATGAGAATTTGTATTTTTGTATTCTCTAACTGTTGATGTGTGGCACCCAAAATAAAGGTTAATGGGGATTGGATTTCACTGTGCAATTATTTTCATATTGGAGTGTACCCATCTAAACCTTTCAAGAAATCGACATGGCACTCACACATGGTTAACATGTAAAAGCTGGCAGTTTTTTCAAACGAATGCATAATTTTAAATGATCAGTAATGTCAACTTATTAGCCATCAATTTAATCTAATCTCATTTAAAAAATGGGTATGAGTATTTCTGAATCACTCTTTGGTTCTTTTGGTAAAGTCGCGTAGAAAGGAAATAAATTAAATAATATACGACGTTTCCATTGCAACACAAGCAATCGTCATCAGGTAGAACTACATTTGAGATAGAGGCAAAACACAGACACGGAGACACACAGACAGACACAAGCAGAGAGAGAACACAAAGACACACAACATAGACACACAACATAGACACACAGAGACCAAATGCCTCTGTGTCGAGGCCTTAAATAGAGAGAAGGGGGGTAGAGAGAGAGGTGGGTCTGCTGGTACAGAGAAATTAGCTTGTCAATGAGAGAGCTGTGTGGAAATCCACCCTGCGGCGGCCGGAGAGAAAGACCCAACAAGCCTGGTAAATTTTAGAGAGAGTTGTGTAGAAATCCACCCCGCAGCGGCCGGGGGAGAGAAAGAGCGAATGGACCTATGAGAGCCTGGTACATTTTCTAGGGAGAAATAGGCAGTTTGAGAAAACAAACCTAGCATTTTTTTGGAAATGTAATGCAATGGAACACAGAGAGTCGGCTAACACAGTTAACGCGTAACCTGATTGATTACGTTCTCCAAAGATTGCTAAATTAGAAGTTAAGTGTGAAATTTGAATCCGTTATATTTCGGCCTTTTGTGAGTTCTTAAAACAGGACTTTGCGGGGTGGGCTGGTAGGAACGAATAACCAAAGAATATAAACATAATGTATTATTACACTTGTTTAGCCAGGAAAGCCCCACTGAGTCTAAAGGTTTTTCTAGGGTCCTGCCAAGTGTTTGCAGTAGGGGGCGATGTTGCTACACCTAATCGGACGATACGAAGGGAGAGTGTGAGGCCTAGTTCTAGGCTTTAGGCCTAGCTGTAGGATTTAGGCTGCTGTGAGTTAATTTTTAATGTAAATGTTTTAATTATTTATGTAAAAGCTTTAAATGTAAATGTTTCTATTTAAAAACATCAGGGAATGTAACATTGTTAAACATTAACTCCCTTTCACACACGCGGGGGTACGATACGAAGGGAGAGTTTGAGACCTAGTTCTAGGCTTTAGGCCTAGCTGTAGGCTTTAGGCCGCCGTGAGTTAATTTTTTATTTAAATGTTTTTATCATTTATGTAAAAGCTTTAAATTTAAATGTTTGTATTTAAAAGCATCAGGGAATGTAACATTGTTAAACATTAACTCTCTTGCACACACGCGGGGGTACGATACGAAGGGAGAGTTTGAGGCGTTGTTCGAGGCTTTAGGCCTAGCTGTAGGCTTTAGGCCGCTGTGAGTTAAATTTTAACTTACAAGTTTTAATTAAAAGCTATCTCAAGGAATTATAAGGGAATGTTACACTTGTTTCGCTAGGAAAGCGTCACTGAGTCTAAAGGTTGTTGTAGGGTCATGCCAAGTGTTTGCAGTAGGGGGCGATGTTGCTACACGGACGGACAGACGGACGATATAATCTATTGTAGGCTGGTCCACTTCGTTCCTACCAGTATAACCATACACGATACATGTACATGTACTGCAGTCAATATCTTTTAAAAAGAAAAAGACTAGGCATATATTGAGATAGGAAATTCATTAGTCTTTTTTTCATAATATGATTTACAGTATGTATGTGGTTGATGGTAGGTAAACTTTTCCTCAAGCTGGCTTGCTCATATGATTGGTTATATTCTTAAATATTATGCTACTTAGATATACTACTACTTTTGTGGGAGAATCAGGTGTGGTGGTTACGGACCCCAGGACTCAGTTTTCTACTCATCTAAAGAGCCTCGGCACCATACTCGACCAGAATGTCGTTTGATCACCACATGGAAAACATAGTAAAGCCCTGCAATTTTCATATCTTAGCTCTACATCACATTCGGCCACTATTGAGTCGTGACATAGCCATGTAGCAAAGTATCAACAAGGCTCGAGTATTGTAAATTCACTACTCGACGGGACGTCTGGCAAAAACATTACCAAGCTGCAGCGTGTACAACATTCTCTGGCACGTGTCGTTACGGGTACTGCAAAATCCGACCATCTCTATCTAGTGCTTGCCAAGCTGCATTGACTTCCAGTTACCGAACGAATGCATTTTAAGGTGGCAGTCATGACACAAAGTTCTTGTCACATGAAATACAATACCTTGCTGATTTCATCAAGGAGCATAAACTATCACGCGAGCTCCGGTCATCCTCGCAGTGGCTTTTGGCTGGCCATCGAGCAAAGACGATCGCGTGCTTTCAGAGGCACTTCTGCGGACGTCTGGAACGCTCTTCCGATATTAGGAAGCCATTGAAGCTATGCATTTTAAAATCTATATTGAAAACTAATTTCTTTAGAACTGCTTTTTGTGTTTAGTTGCTTGTCCTTCCCCCGCACCTCTGATTAGCACAGTTGGCTACGTATGGTGCAAAAGAAGGTCAACATATACTCTAACATAACGCACGAACGATAATTTCCTTCTCATTGAAGTTTTAGGGTGAAGTATTGTGATCTAGTCTCACAATCCTAGTCCTCCTTACATCCGACTCCAGTGCAACAAAGGAGCCAACCCCCCCCATGTACTGAAAACGGTCATCCCAATAGCAATGCTCCGGAAAAACTCAGCATGGAGCACCACGGAACAGCTTGTGGACAACTATTTTCCTGGGTCTAAACATTGTGTCTGTGCGTATGCTGAAAATGTGGGAGTGTCGGTGAAGGCGAAGGGTTGTTGGCATGTTCCATCGATATCCCAACAGTGTACCCTACATATACAAGTGTACCCTACACACAGTCACACTCATACCACATGCATGTGCCCAAACACACCTCTCCATCTTCTTGGCTCTTTCGGTCAAGTCACGTAGAAGGGAAGTAATAAAATAATACAAATAAAACATAATAAAACATATTATTACATCATTTGATTATGTTTTATTTTTATTATTATATTATTTTATTATGTTTCATTTTTATTACTTCCCTTCTACGTGACTTTACCGAAAGAACCAAGAAGATGAATCCCTGCAGTCACGAAAGCTTTAAATCTAAATTTACACCTCTCCATGTCCTTTACCACGCTCATAATAAACCATATTTAAATTGTGGGGTTACATTGGGAGCTTGGGACCGGGAACTTTAAAAGCGAGATTAGAGTTTTCTATGAAGCTCAGACCATGGTGACAATGTATTGTTAGTGCCATTATTTGTTGATCCTGAATTTGCAGTGGTGCACTAGCACAGATGGCCCCTCATAGGCCGTAAATTATTTATGTTATCATGAATTATGTATACTCTGAGGAGGGCCATTGCCTGAAGCATCACCTATTATATATTTTAATTGTAGCGCATTGTTTGAGAGATCATTATTCATATTACTTGAGAACAGAACATTACGAGAGAAGGAAAACATTGGGAGGATTACTTTTGGAGAAAATGCATGAGAGAATTCCGAGCGAGGGCATTATTTGGTCAGTATTATTAGATAGAGCATTGTTAGAGGGACAGCAATATATGCTAGATAACACTATGTAACACAATTCCTGTACCTGGGTAGTAAGTGTTATTTCGTAATTGCTTATGCCTAAAAAGTATAGAAAATGGCTATTATTCCCCACAAACTTTGCTTTTGTGACCAGGACAGTGATATTTTGAAATTTACCTATTTTCAATGAGAAAACGGGCGAATTTGTGTCTTTTCGGTCACATAAAGTCATAAAATAACAACATATGAATCAAAATTAACATGTATTTATCCTAAAGTAATGCCAAATTTACTACAAAAGATTTTGAAGTGAGTAGTTTTTCGAGATTTACGATTATACCATGGCTCTCTTTTCCCCTCTGTACCATCCTACAAAAATACATTTATTTCACCCATGACTAATGTGGAAGAGATTCTCGCAACATTTTTCATATATGATATATTTTTTCAATAACATTGAAAATTGTAAAACATTCAAAACTTTACAATTTAAACATTTTATACAAATTTTATAACATTAAATTCCGAGCAACAATTGTCCATCTTACCTTCCAGAGTATTTTTGCATTGCTCGCAGGTGAAGTGAGGTTCCCAGGGTTCATCTTGATCCCCGACAGGCATGCCGAAATATGCCTTCTAGGCCTCACACATCTTAGCAGATGCTTCCACAGAGTACTTTTCGCTCTTGTCTTGACAAATTGGCCGCAGACATAGCAAAATGCGTCTACCGGATGCTTGCAGCCCCTTAACAGTTACCCAGTGATTTATGTGTGGTGTATTTCGTGCATTGCCTTACTCAATTAACACATCGTTCACAATAGCAGGCTGTTCTGCCCCATGGCAGGTATGGGGGTGTTGATTACACAGGAATTTCCCGACATGGTGTTGAGTTTGGTCACGTGACCAGGAAGTTACGATTTAACATTCTCGAAGCCATGAGGCAGGGTGTCAGCCATTACTCAGAGTACAAAATGGAGGCACAAATAGCGTCTCAGTGAAGACAGCTGCATCTGTTCATCGTGGAACTTTAAGAAGCATTGTCTGTAAGTTCATTTATGTTTTTATAATACTGGGAATGCTGTTATGTTAGGATTGCCGTTATAATGCTGTAAATGCATTACATAATGCTGTTAAATTGTTATGATAAATATGAGGCCTAGTTAACAACGAAGCCTGCCACTTGCATTATTGTGAATGTTACTTGTAATTAAATAAGTCGAGTTAGACTTGTACCCATGTAACTTTAATGCGATCTTGAGAACAAGGATGAAGAAGTATCTCATCCACAGTTCAGTGTTATGTGCAGCGCTGTACATTTAGACTGCAGTAAGGTGATTACACAATGTGACCTTATTT